GAAAACTGAAAATGTTTTTCAAAAGTGGAACTATTTCAAAAAAAAAAAAATGCCTCAGCACACATGCTCACCCATAATATTTCTTGTATGAAATGGTGGTAATAGTGATGATAATGATGATTGGTGATAATGATAGTGGTGATGGTGATTGGTGATGTTGATAATAGCGATGATTGTGCATCAATCATTAAAAGGGTATCGACATTATCATTAGTTCAACATTTAGACAATGATTAACGAACTAGCAAAAATTTTCTTCGGTACTTTAGAGGACGTTAACTGAAACACAAAAACACTGTTGTTCCAACAAGTTATCAATTAAACAAGGCAAAAAGGAGATGACAGGAGAAAAAAAAAGAAAGAGACGAGGGAAAGAGATTGTAAGAGAAGAGAAAAAAAATATTTCGGAGAGACAATGTTTGTATTAAATAATTTAATTCTTCATTTAATCGTTTAATTCAATTTTTCGCTATTGTTGAAATTTTTGTTAGGTTTTAAAGTTGAAAACAGGTTAAAATGAAAATGAAACGAAGAACAGGATGATATTAATAGGTAGTAGAAATTATTTAAATTGAAATTTTAACCCATTCAAGGTAAACAATGTAACTTTTTTATCAAAAAAGGAGAGAGAGAGAGAGAGAGAGAGGGAGAGGAAAAGAAAGAGAGAAAGGTATGGAATAGGAATTGTTTTATGAATTTGAATTATGTTATTATGATTTTGATGGAAAATAATCATTACTTATAAAGGTATTAAACTTACTGCAGGATGTAGACCGGGATAAATAGCAGGAAAAGGTAATGCACCCTGAGCCATAGCTGCCCTGAATGCAGCTTCATGTTCCATCGGATGTGGAAAACCGGCTAAACCACCGGGTGTTAGCAATGGTCCACTAGCATTCAAGAATCTTGTCGTATCACCGCCACCACCAACTTCATCAGCATTATTACTGCTTATTGAGGTTGGAACCGGAACATTGCCAACTAATGCTGACGGTGGTTCCGTTTTAACTGGTGTTGACGGTTGTGAGGCAGCCAGCAACTATAATAAATTTCAAATTACGATTTAAAAAAAGAAAAAATTCAAGTATTTTAAATTTCAATTTTAAATTATTTGCTTTTATTAATTTGTATACATGCTCTAATGAACAACTACAATGCTATGGTATAACCTCGTGCTGAAAATAATTTCTATTCCTCAAGTGCTTTTTCTTTCCTTTTTCCTGACCTTTAACTTTTTCCTTAGTGTTGCCCTTTCTTTCTTGCAATTATCACCTCATTGTTACAAACAATTAAAATAATTAAAAGGTAGAGAAAAGAACCAACTTACTCGTAAAATATTAAGCATCATAAATTACAAAATTTTCCTTCTTCTTTATCTATCTAATTTATTCAGTAATTTTGTCTTGATTGAAGAAATAATAAATTAATAACAGGAATAAATGAGAAAAAAAAAAAGAAAACTAGTAAATGAAGCAAGTACAGAGGGAAAAATTTCAAAATACAAATATTTATATGTATAAATATTCAATAATTTAACATAAACTTTTCAGAATTAAATCAATTAGAAATTAATTAATTTCAACTCTTTAGGATAGATGATAGGAATAATAATGGATGAAAAAAGGAAGATAGAAGCTAATAACTACAAACAACTACAAGAGAATACGATTAACCAACTAAATTGAGCTTTTCTCTATGATGCGGGCATTATTTATTTGGCTAAGCAAAAAGGAAAAAAAAAAGGATGAAAGAGTTTCTTCGGGATGAATTTATGTGAATGATGGAATTTGATCAGTTTGAATGGTTAGATAAATGATAGGTATAATATTGTTGACACACCTGAGCATTGAATGCAGCTGCTGCTGCCGCGGGATTGAATGCCATCCGCGAATTGCTGAAGTTGTTGTTGCCGTTTGATGATGATAAGGTAATATCAAAAAGATGACGAAAGATATTTGGGAGATGTGCAGCAGCTCACTTGAATGAATTATATGTTTGTATTCAGTTAAATAATTGTCACCAATTGTCGTTGTTGTCGTCGTCGTAATTGTCGTTATTTCTGTTTTGCTATTGTTGTTTGTATTTTTGTTGTTGCTGTTGTTGTTTTCGTTGTTGTTGTTATTGTTGTTGTTGTTGTTGTTGCTGTTGTTGTTGTTGTTGTTGTTGTTGAATGTTATTAATAGATTAAAATGATAACGATGATACACTGATAGAAGGGATAATAAAAGTGAAAATATTCTTATCAATAAAATAGCAGCGGCAGCAACGGGTAGCAATCAAATATGGAATAATAATTTTAAAAAAAAAAACTCAATTATCTTAATGAAAAAGTTTATCTCTCTTTCTTTTTGAAGTAAACCTGAAAATTAACAAAAAAAAGAAACTTCTATCAATTATGAAAAATTAAAAATATTGAAAAGCGGGAAAAATAAAAAAAAAAGGCGAATTTACTAACATTTTTCAACTGTAATATCAAAATCAACAAAAAAAAAAGAAAAAACTTAGCAAAAATTGTTATTACTACTATAGTTACTGTTACGACATGCAACGTCATTATTGATTACAATTTTACAAACTTATCGATCACTTGTTAAATTATTAATTAAAATTTTGTCAATTGCCAAGAAAAAAAAAAGAATGAAGCATAAATACTGTAATGATTACATTGAACAATTATTTGCTTTTTCAAATTGTACATTAATTGTAAGGATGTATGAAATTGTTTCTGTAATGTACAAAGTAACAAATGAGGTTGACAATGTCTAGCAAAAAATGAAAAATAACGCAACAGCAATTTGTTTTTGTAAAAACATGATATTCATCGAAATGCCAACAGGTTTGTATCAATATGGCGTGGCGTGGGTTCGATCAAAGGGAGTGGAAATGAACAACGAGAAAGATCGGGAGCGGAGAGTGGATGAGAGAGATTGGTGGAAGTAAGTGGTAGTTGTTAAGTGTTGTGTAATTATTGAATTGCATTAAAGAGAAAAAAAAAAACGATTCAAAGTTGGAAATGATTAAATAAGTTGTTCAGCTGTAAAGTACAAATATATTGTTAA